TATATATATATATATATATATATAAACAATACACTTTTGTATAATATAATATAATGTAATATAATGTTTTTATATTACATATTAAAAATATAATATTATTTATTATATAACAGTTTCAGCTAAAGAAGAATTTCTGGCACTTTCTAACACATTTTCTAGCACCCTTCAGTTTATCAAAACTACCACATAATTGAATTATTCATTATTCTGGTTATTCATTATTATTTTATTTTACTTCAGGCCTTTACTTTGAGCATGCCTTGGTAACCGTAGGCTATGTGAAATGCTCTTTTATTGGTTTCATGTCTCAGTAAAATAGAAATCCTTGAAACTACAGTAATTTCCCCTATAAAAAAATTAAACCACAAATCTTTAATATTTTGATTTGTTCTAGACAGCAGTGCGATTAAAATAGAGAGAAAATGGAGACTTTTAATTAAGTTAACCTGAGAAAAAAGACCCCTATAATCTCCCATCTCCCTCACTTTTTTTTCTGCTAAGAAATTTTAGAAGAGGCGTCCAGCTTCCGGATGCAGAGTTCTGTGTTAGTGCGATCTGGTTGAAGTAATGCTTGCTGAAAAACAGTTTCCAAAAGTAGCTTGCATTTCCTATTGCTATTTTAGTACAGACAATGTGGTTTCCATGGACACTTGCGTGGTGTCCATGCCAACGGCAGGTTTGGAGCAGTGTAAGCGTGTAAGCGTGTGTGCCCGGGAGGGACTTGCGGTGGAGTGATTCAGGGACAGTGCCAACCTTTCTTTACCTCTCCCACCTGTACCAACCTGTGCCCTTCCCACTGAATCTCCATGGAAACGGTCAGATGAGGGCAGTCACCCAGATTCAATCCAGTCACCCATAGACGACAGAAGGGTTTGTGGGTACTGTAGTCCGCTAGGGAAGCGTTGCTGAGTGGCAGGGTAGGTATTAAGTGGTTACAAGATGATACACGGGTAAGAGTGCGTTTTGTTTGTTTATCTATTGATCTCCATGTTGATTGAAGCCCCCGTTGTCTTAAAATCCCCTATAGTGCACTGGGGCTGCCATTGCACGTTCTTTACACATGCTCCCAACACCTTGCATCTGTCAAGTCTAATCAGGGCAAGATAAGTGTGTGTGTGTTTTGTGTGTGTGAGTGTCGGTGTGTGTGTGCACATGTGCCTGTAATCAGTAGAGAGTTATGTAATCATATTTAATTAAGGATTAATTACAGATGCCGTTAAGTGAGAGTGCAACAACTTAATTCTCTTTTAGTCACCCAATCACACACACACACACACATGTTTATTTTCTGTCATGTTGGGGACATTCTGTTGACGTAGGGCATAGCTAGCAGGTGACCAGAATCCAGTTTATTTTCTTATACAAATATAAACATAATTTTATATATATTTTTAAATTTAGGTGGCATGACCACAGATTGAAATGCACAATTTGTAGACTAATTATTTTATGACATATTTTGATGCATATTTTTAATACATAGAATTAATTATAATGGATTTTAAACCATTATAATAATAATAATAATAATAATATAATATAAAATGTAATATTTTTCATTTAGATTCAGGGCACCAATTTATGCCATTATTTTGGCACATTGTATGGAAAATACATTTAATGAATAATTATTTAGGACCCTGCATCAGTTAGTATTATATTAATAATATTAAAATAAATTACTAAATTTAATATTTTTCATTCAGGTGGAAGGGACCATGGATTGAAATGCATAAATTGTGTATTAA